CTCTTGCCGGAGACAGATTCACGTGAGATGCAAGAATTTTCAAGTTGGAATGAACGCAAGCGGGTCATCTTTACATCCTCTTAGAAATACTGTCAAGCGGAAAATGGGCCAGGGTTGACAGTCCATTGTCCAGACTCGGCCATCTCTGTAACTCGTTTAGAGAGACGTCATTCAGGGTCGAAAAATACAAATGTACGGAATCGTTTCGTGAGATCATTTGGTTTTATTTACTTTCACATTTTTTCACATCTTGTTTATAAACGCTTGCTGCCATGTCTATGTGCTGGTCGAGCCAGCCGTTGAAACAGAGCCGTTATTGCTCGACGGGTAATTTATTCGGATAATAAACTTCTTGAGATGTTCGCCAATAAATTCTCGACACCAACAGCGGAATACAGTATTTTACATTTGGGTCATAACGAATACACGGGGAAGGGATTTGTTTAAAGGGTAGTGCAGCGCAAATGGCTTTGGGTGCGAGATGTTAAAGCGCTTGCACGGCTTTCCGCCAGCAGTGTCGTGATCACGCAATTGCAGGGCTGCACCTTTACCGCCCTTACACGCGTTCAAAACCAACACAGCAATGTTATTGGGCTAAGCCATACGTTGACAAACGTGGTTATACAAAAGCAAATAATAGAATCGTTTCCCAGCAGATATTTAGTCGTCAACAACTCGTATGACGCCGAGCAAAACAAATCTGTTTCGCAGATAAAGATGTATTGCTTGGCATTTTACACTGAGTAGCTCAAACATATTGCAGCGAGCATTCAACAATGTTGCTTTGGAATGATATATCATGAAACTTGTACTTTTCACAAGACCAGAACAATAAAATGTAATAATACTTCACAGCCCTTTGCCTACCCATGGCTGAAGGCCTTCCCCACGCTTTATTTTTGACCATACTTTACCACTCTGGTCAATGAAGGTTGTTTGGAGGTTTGGGGGGGGACGAAGGGTGGATTGACAGGACCAGTTCAGATATCACTTGATGCTGAAGTTACCCTTGGTCAGTGCATTACAACAACAACTGTCATCCGCGACTAAGTGACGGTCACGTCAACACGGCGTTTGAGTGAAGTGTCGAAGGCTCGCTGCTGACAGCAGGTCAGGGGACAGAACCAGGTGCCATGGGTTGACTGACTGAGCTGACTACTGGCAGATGCACCACCTGTGCTCCCCACTGTGCCAACTTGCTGCATTTTAGCCGCTCGGCATCCCGCTCCTTGTTGGGAGGGCGACTGCCTCCAACTTCTCAGTAGCATCCTTCACGAGCCTCCTCCTCCACAGAGGCCGATCTTGACACTGCTGGTACCAGGCAATCAGCAAGTCCACTCAGCTCCACATCCTTCTGTACCACATCAGTCCATTTCTCCTCGAGTCTCGTGCCACATCCGATCAGTGCAATAACAACTATGCCACCGAACCACTCCACCCAAAGAAGCTACTGTGAAGTGGTCAGGATACGACCGTACATGTGCGGTTACAAAGACAAGGCACAGGAATATCAGACACGGCAGTGACATTTTTCTGAAGACAGTAATTAAGAAGAAGAAAAAAAAACGTATTTCCTTTGCCCCTGCTGGTAAAGCAAATGTTTGAACTAATGTCTTGTTTGGAAGCTCTGTGGCTGGCTGCCTTTTCATTACAAATCATTTAGAGATGCGGTGCGTGAAGACGTTCATATCCTAGGGCAAAAACAAAAAAAAAACCCCGCTCCATCTGTCCAGAAGACTTTATAAGGAAACACTTAGTAACACAGGCTGGACATGGGAGTGGAGCAGATGGCTAAATGCTGAGACCATAAAATTCTTTCCAGCATTTTGCATGACAATACAGCGGGCTTCAGTAGATGGCGGGAGAGGGGGGGGGGAGAGCTTGAAATAATGAAATGGAATGTTGGAAGGCGACTGCAGCGCCGAGGGGGGGTACCGTAAGAGTATATAATTTGTCATTTTGCTGAAATGCACGTAAGTCACGCCTGCCGCAGAGTGGCAGAGAGTTTAATTACTAGATGTTAAATGTCTGGAAATTGGGAATGTCGGAAAGTCGTACGCTCTGCCAAGTGTGACGAGAGAAAGGCTGTTCCTTGGCGCTCGCTTTGTCGCATGGGTGGAAAAAACCCGATTTTTCCAGCGGCAGGCATCGAGTTTTTTCTTTAATACAATTAAACCCGATTTCGGAGAATTAAAACCTGGTTTAATGAATACGAAACTCTGATCCAAGGCTTAGGCTGCTTCCTCGTCGGTGCTGCTATCGTACTCGGGGGGGCCGTCGGGCACGGGGTAGTCGTAGAATGCGGCGGGCAGGTTGGTCTTGATGAACACGAGCTTCTCCTCCACAATCGTGGGCGCCAGTGAGTTCCTGAGCTTGGAATGGATGAAGGCCATCGTTGAGAAGTTGGCGAAGTGCGGTTCTGCAATTAGAAACAATTAAACCGGATTTCTCCCAATCTCAGATGATCGGGTTTAATATAAAAAGACAATTAAACCCGATTGTAAAAAACCCGCCTGTGCCACCCTTGCTTTCTCGTGAATGAATTGGCCGTTGCTGTTGTGTTGTGTTGGGTCGAGTGTGGGGAGCGGTAGTGTAGCGGGTAGTGTGCTGCGCTATGAACCTTGCGACCCGGGTTCAGTCGCTACTCACTTCATCGAACCGGTCCTGGGCCTCCCTTAGGTCACCTCAAGCTCAAATGAGTTAATGGTGCGGTGTGTGAACATCGCCACTCGGGAGACAAAGGCGGCCGAGCGTGGTGCTGGCCACCCAAGCCCCCTCGTGCGCCGTGCCGGCCTTCATAGGTGCTCGCTAACAGGACTTGCCCCAACAGTCTGTTAAGGCTACACGGGGAATCTTTGTCTTTGTTGGGTCGTATGCCGTCTTAAGGTAATTGTGCGTCGGGACGGATTTGGCGACTAAATATTTCTGGCCTTGCAGGCTAACGCGGACGTACGGAAAGGAACGCTGTGATTGTTTTTGCGATTGAATCCTTAAGTGCGTTGTGAAATGATGTTCTGGAAATGTGCGACTTGATTTTGGCCGGGCAAACCGCGTGTTTAATGGCTTTGAACAAGAAAAACTTGCAGTGGGTTTGTGGTTTGAGGTTATATACACTGTGGCCTTCTCATGGGACCTTTTTTGGGGACCTTTATGGGACATTTAGTTGTTCACCCCCTTGCTACAATTCCTCTGATACGTGTGGCATTGTCTCTTTGTCCTGTTCGCCTTTTGGTGTTCTCTGGTCTGACACTGGTGAGACTAGGCCATAAAGAAGGCTGTCTCTGGTGTAGGCCAATCAGTTTCAAAGGCAATGCCAAATATTATCAGAGCGTGTTTGCTTGCATGTTCACCACAAGTACGTGCGGGTAATTCAGACTTGATTCCTTGCAAAAAGTCTCTATTTGGTGTTTGAACTTCTCTTAATACTTTTTGTATTGCCAGAAAGGATAAAACCTATTCTTATTTTTCATACTGTGGGCTTCATTCACAAAGTAGCCTATTGCGTGCTGTCACAGTTACGTATACACTCTACGTAAATGCATTCCCCCCCCCCCCCCCACGTGCTTTACTAAGCGTAATTAGATAAGATATATATTCAGATATGCAATTGTCTGCTGTGAAACACGTGTCATTATTAGCTGTGGCCGTCGCGTGATGCATACCGCAACAAGCAAATACTGTACGTTATGCTGTGCTGTAAACCTGTGACTACACGTTTGATAAAGTTGTTTTGAAGCTACAAGACAGCCAGATCGAGCGAAATATAATTCGAAGAAAACGATTTGCTTGACGACGGATGCTCTTGCTTGTGCGGTGGTGCACAGGCACCAACGGACATAGAAATGAACACCATCGGTGACGCTGCCTTAAATATAACAAGCAATTTATTAGGCGACTTTTGGGGAATTGCCCTCCTTTTCCATAAGGAGGGCCATTTGGGGCATTGATTGATGCGTCGCATGTTATATTTTTTATCTATTTTGCCCATTTATTTATGCCAATTTCATATGGCAAACACATTTTTTAAAAAATGTTTTTTTACACAACACCTAAAACACAACGTTATGCAAGAATGTGCAAAAATAAGCTATTTTAAATAATGATGATTGGTGATTATCTGACGTTTTTGAAACTCTGTGCCCACTTCCCCCCCCCCCCCCCCCCGACGCCGCCGGATAATCGATGAGCGACTGTCTTTCCTTTTAAGGCCACAGTGTTATTGACGATGGTGTCGAGGTGTTTGTTTATGTTTTTGACTAGCTTAACAAGCATTCGCTGTTTCAATTTACAACGTTCATCACAATATTTCTCTTTTTTTATTTTCGCGGTATCGCCGATTTAAAAGTTAACTAAATCCTTGCTTCTCAACGTGTTAAATTAACCGAGGCGTTCATTCTCATGGCGTCACGTGACCACGATGCGAGGGGGGGGCTCTCTTGTATATCATCATCACGTGATGACGGTGAGCTGTTTGGAAATTGATGGAGCCGAAGATGGTTTTGCGTAACGGAGAACAACTCGATGGAACACCAACGTAATTGTTGGCAAATATCACGAAAAAAACTCAACACATCCCCCAATAACAACGCGTGGCCTTGAAGTAAAAAGAAAATACGATGGAACTTTTTCATAGAGCATGGCCATTACCCAAAACGTTAATAATTATATACTCATTTCGTTTGGGGCAGTGTTATTGACCAATGCAAGTATTGTTTTTGTTTTGTGCTTGCACACGTCACTGCCAATGCAGCAGCAGCAGCATCGCCAATTACCTTTTTTTGTTTAATTTCGATGGGCAACTGACTCGTTCCGTTTCTGAAATCTCACAGCAGATTTGCTACAAGTACGAAGCTTCCTTAATTACAATTAAATGTTTGCTCCTCGCTGCAGCGGCGATAAGCAAGCTGCCCTCGCTCCGGTCGAGCTCAGGTTGCCCTCGCCCCCTAGGATTTGTTTCGAGCGCCGGGCAGTAATGGAATGTCCTGCTTTTGCGCCGTCAGGAGCCGAGCCACAGCTGCTTGCGTCGAAGCTGGACCCGAGGCGGACAGGAGGCAAAGGAGCTGTGAAACCGTCAGACACCACTGCGTCCGCAGAAAGTTTGGACCTCGTGGTGGAGGAGCAATCCCCAGGGCCTGCTGCGTCATTCGGTGAGATGGACTGCCATTATCTGCCGTGGCAGCGAAATTGCCGACTCGATTGCAATTGCTGCTTCTTGGCACGTGATTTTTTTTTTTTTACAATAACACCCCGCGTGTTGCTGAAACACTGGAGACCCTTGCGACGTGAGTAAATAAAAAATCCATGCCCTCTGCAGAATGCTCGTGATAAACAAGTGATTTATTTTTGCTCAATGCATTGACAGAGATGTTGGTTTTGCACAAAAGGAAGATAGTGACTGTCCGATGCACAATAGGAGAATGTGACATGGCACGGTTCTTTCAGTGCTGACTTTATTCTGAATACGACCCATTGTAGATTCAGAAAATGTCGCGTGCGGAGATATGTTGAGCGAATTTGTAAAGTGCATAGATTTCATTGACGCGTCCTGGGTTTTTATGTTATATATTTGAGCCAAAAGCTCTTTTTAGATCGGCATGCCTCAACATGTTTAAAGTTTACATAGTAAGTGGAACTGTGATTCAGCATACCATCGTAAGGGTTATCCCCACTTGTAGCACATTGACCTTCCCATATAGCTTTGACTTTGAGGATTGCTCAAGATTCAGTGCTTTAGCGAATTCCTTCGACTGAGCAAACAAACCATTTCCTCCCCAACAACATTAACTTTCGCTTTGAAATTCTGGCCGTAGCTCTAGTGGTGTACGAGACTTTTTTTAGTGGCTATTGGAGGACCTGAACCAGATGTCATCGGTGAGGTCATTTGGATTACAGGGACTGCTCTACTTACGAACGAATTGGGTTCCAGTGGTCTGTTTGTAAGTCGATTTGTTCTTAAGTCCAACTTTACTCCTTTCGATTCCAAACATGTTGTACGGCATGTACACTAAACACGGGGGATGACTTTACAAGTTGCATAATCTCCTGTAGTAGTAGATGCCACTGGTTGTTCATGTTCTGCAGATGTAGATGCCACCTATTGTGCAGCAGTTGAACTTGACATGCGGACAGGTTTGTTCGTAACTCTGAAAGTTTATCGGTCGAATGTTCGCAAGTAGAGGAGTCCCTGTACCTGTAAGCGTGGGGGGGTGGGTGTGCTGGGGGGGAGGGGTGGAGTTCTCCTGTGGCCAATGGGAGCAAGGGATGGAAAGACATGGCTCGCTTGTGAGATAAAACTTCGAGAGAGTCGAGACTTGGCTGTCCCCTGGTGGTCTCCTTCAGTGCCAGGGTCCAACTACGTTGCCCCTGGGGGGAGGGAGAGCGGGGGTGCTCACGGTGTTTTGTTGTCGCCTGGGGTTGGCTCATACAGTCCCAGTGCTGCTCGACTCTTCCCGCATCAGGCAAGCACAGCCCTCTTCTCCCAGGGTGGCTGCAAGGCACCGCGAGGGAGCTTATCGCTTTAGTGGTGCCCTCTCGGCCACACGTGGGTTAAAAACGCGAGTCGATGCAGTTGCAAGTTCCCCGCGCGGAAATATGCGCTGGCATGTGTTTTCTTTGTTGTTGCAGCAGAGTGAAGTGGATGCAATCCGAACATTGTCTCACGATGTTGATGAATGGGGTTAGAATAACAAATTGTGTTCGAGTCAATTGGAAGTGGCAAACACGCCATTGGAGCAAACCCACCTGAAAACAGAGTAAGGAGACTCGGTGGGGAATTCCTGAACGAGTAATAACAATAAAAATCACAGTCCTACTCTTGTTGTCTCTGTAATGCTATACCGGAGTACAATGGAAAAAAAAACTAGTGTAGTTTAGTCAGATGTTGACTCGGCTTTCATTCTCTCCGGTGTCAATAAACCGAGTAACATTTGTGGGACACCAAGAATGCTCATCCCATAGACATTGTCCCTCACTGTAGGAATGTGCAATTTCCACCGAAGGCTCCGGATCACCAGTGAAAATGGGGACCGCTCCAGGTTTGTGCAGCATGATGGAACGCGGGTCGGTTCCTTACGCACGACGGGGTCACGGGTCAAATTCAAGCTGGAACGTGTTTTTTTTATGTTTGCGAACTTTAAATACCTTCACTATCCTGGTTGATGGTGGCACACGCGCTGTAATCCAGCATCGTGGAGGCAGCGAAGGATGGTGGATCACACGAACGTCATGAAACTCTATGTAAAGCTTTCGTGACTGCAGGGATTCATCTTCTTGGTTCTTTCGGTAAAGTCACGTAGAAGGAAAATAATAAAAGAATAACAATAATAAAAATAAAACATAATAAAATAATTATGTTTTATTTTTATTATTTTCCTTCTACGTGACTTTACCGAAAGAACCAAGAAGAGGGTTATGAAACTCCTTTACCGCGGGCGTCGCGGTGCCATAAACCCCGGCTTTCCAGGAGAAGGCAGCACAGCAAGCGTGGACTAATCTCCATCTGTTCAATCTGCACAGGATGGAGTGCCCTCATCGCAACGTATGGGTTTTCTCTGCGTGCTCTGGTTTCCCGCCAGACGTATACTAACACTCATTGATTAGCCGATAACACCTTGATATTTAGAGGATCACAGAGCTTGGGCAGACCGTTGGTAGCGCCGGCTCGCTGCTCGACTGCGATTCCTCCTCGCGCCTCAGAGTCGTCCTTCTCTGTCTCTTCAAGAGCGAGCGAATGCCGTGCGGCGGCGGTACATTACAAGTTTAAATTAAAAAATGTTTTACGAGCAACAATGCATATCCCGTTCGTTTGTACATCCCAGTCTACAATGATACGCCCTGATGTGTCATTACGCCCCGTGACTGTACAATCCGCATAAAGTCAACCGTTACAGCTTCCAAAAGCCAAGAGAGCCAAGCGTGGCAGAATCGTTTTTTTTCGACGAGACATTCAACGGGGTCACACATTCTCCAGGGAAAGAGATGAGGTCGTTCGGCAGCCACTTCTTTGCCCTGAGGCACAGACCATTGGATCAGTAAACCAGAACCATGGTTCATAAGCCCGTTTTTTTTATGAAAAAAAAATGTGTTGCGCATTACTGCGTTTGTTCTTAAGCAAGTGTCTCGGGTGTTCGATTTAGCGTGTAGTTTTATTTTTGGTTGATAAAGAGTTTTATTGTACACTGAGCGTACCGGATGAATAGTGTGGAGATTTCACCAGCACAGAATATAGACAACTCGCAGAATGTAAACAAAGAGAGTGATTAATATGGACTGATTAATAGCCATGAATGAGTGCTGCATAACTTTAAAAAATACAATACTGAAATAAGCATGATTCTGTGCAAACATATATATATGCATTTGTTAAAAAGTGTATATACTGCATATTATCCCTCTATACATACAGTATTATTAGTTTATGAATTAAATTTTCAGTACCTTTATTCATATTTACATTAATTTCTCTGGCGTTGTAAATCGTGAAATCAAATCAGATGTTTTCTGGTTATTCCTGCAAAGTGTGAGGAAGCATTGGACTTTGATTTATTCATAAGCAGATAAGGGAAATCAATGCGCTACAATTTGAAATGCATTAATTTTTCAGTGTTTTCTCTGTAGATTATGAGATTAAAGTCAAGCATAGCTTGTGTTTACTGACAACATAGAGGTTACTGTGTGTACTCGTTAAGTAAACGAATTGGAAATGCTCGAAGGAATTTCCCAGCTTTTGTCTGCATACGTTTGTGTATTTGCGTGTGTGTGATATTGTATGTGTGGGTATATAACGATAGTGGGGGAGCGGTGGTGTAGCGGTTCGCGCTACGAACCCGGCGACCCGGGTTCGCGTCCTGCTCATGGCCAACACCAGCGACGATTATCTGAACCGGTACTGGGCCTCCCCTAGGTCGACTGAGCCTCAAATGAGTACCTGGTGCGATGTGTAAACATCGCCACTAGGGAGACAAAGGCGGCCGGGCATGGTGTTGGCCCACCCACTCCCTCGTGTGCCGTGCCGGCCTTTATAGGTGCTCGCTAACAGCACTTGCCCCTACAGTCTGTTAAGGCTTTATACGGGGGATCTTTGTCTTTGTCTATAACGATCGTGTGGTGGTTAGCGGCACTGCGCTACAAACCTGTTGACCTGAGTCCGATTCCTGGCCACAACCAACATCATTGAAGAATATGTGAACCCGTTATGGGCTGTCCCTAGGTTGACTCAGCCTTAAATGAGTATTGAGACGGTGTGTAAACACGAGCACTGGGGAGACAAAGGCGGTGGTTGTGGTGCTGATCATAACGTCCACCCGTCATAGGTGCGACATCCCGGTCTTCATATGTGCTCGCTAACAGCACTTGCCCCAACAGTCTCTTAAAGGATATACGGGGGATCTTTGTCTATGTGGAAGTAAAGAGGGAGCAGTTAGTGTCGAGACTCAGAATCAGATGTCAACGAGTAATGACCAGAACCATGTAAAGTGCAACAAAGTAAAACACAATGAGACGGAAATAAATCATGAATTTCATTTAACTGTAACTTTCGGCACGACATAATATTGCTGTAAAAGCAACACTATTGGCTACGTACGGTGCGAAATAATTTCTACATACATGCAAGTAAATGAAAGTTTTTAAAAAATTATTGGCAGCTTTTTTTTTCTTCTTCTTCCATTGGCACGCTTTACGGCCATGTGAAAAGAAAATCCAACCGATGTGTCTACAAGGTCCAGGTTCCACTTGTACTGAGAGCGCGCGAGGCATGTTCCGACAATCCCATCGAGCTATGGCAGCGCCGATGGGTGAGCGTGCTGCCCATTTATCTTCACCTTATTTACGGTATGACCTTCCTGGCTGCTGACCCAGCCTTTTTATTTCATTCCTGATGCATTCTGGCGACCAATTGATAATTACCGGCTCACGTCTCCGTAAAGGATTTCTCTCAGCTCCGTGTACGCGTGCTAATGGGCATATGCTCCTGTGTGGAATTTATTCGTATTTTGGTCTATATCTGTAACGGGGGCGTGGGGGGGGGGTCTCTGCTACGTGGGAACACCCTGCGATGCATTTAAACCAATGCAATGTCAAGAAGAGAAATTGCTCTGTTGAATTCAGTAGTTGATTGCTTTAATGGTCACAAGTGAATGATGTGAAA